CGTCAAGCACCCAATCAATATCGATGTCCGCGCCATGAAGGGATGGCCAAGTAACAATCGCACTGTGTGAAACGTCATGAAGAAGTAGATTCAGGTTGAATGTTTTGCCGGATGAAAAAGGGCCCTTCTTAATGCTAGTCCCTGGGGTCTCGGGTTGGGACAACGCAAAGAGACCCAGTTGGCAGCCAATCCTGTCAACAGCAGAGAAGTGCTATACCGTCTACTGGTAGATAAGTGTCTATTCCAGCGGATTGTTTTCAGTCTCCTGGACTCAAATGTCCCCCGGCTGTTGTCCCTCTAGCTAGGAGAATGTTCCCCATGCAGGTCGGAGAGTTTCACGCTCCGATCTTACGACTTAACCTCCTCCCTGGATCGGGCGGAACTTCCCTGACCTGAAAGGCTAAACTTCACCGTCACGCTATCAAGACAGTCCTAAAGTGCTGGTCGGAGAAGCCAACCTCCATGTCAAGACTGATTTGGCCGCACAGTTCCCCGAATCTCAAGGTTTTAAGACTAGAGCTTGCAAGCCCCTTCACTTGAATCTCAGGGCTGTGAGGCTTTTCGTAACAAAGTTGTGAAACAGTCTGTCGGTAGTTTGCGTTAGGAGAACCTGCCATGTGTTCTGGCCTAGAATTGAGTTTGCGCTCGGAGCTGAGTGTGAATAACTCGATTAAATTTATAGTCAATTTTCCTCAATTCTGTGTTTCCTAAAACGGCTGCTTTTCAGTTTATGCATTTTTAGGAATGGTGGATTTTGAAGTTGGAAGTCCAAATTCTATAAGCTGGCTCCTCGAACGGTCTAAGCGGTATGCGAAGTGAACAGACATATTCTATTGCATTTTGAAATACTGTGACGTTAGGCAGGCATCACGCTTTTGGGTCCTTGTAAGTCAGAATGGAAGCTCCGCCTTTCGTTTGTATCTTTAACAGTTTTGCTTACCTTACTTGCTATTGGGCGCAAATGTGAGACCTATTCTCTCTAAGCACATAAAATCCTAGAGAATTATTATGAGAGCAAAACAAGATGACTAACTTATTAGTCCGGAGTAGCCAATCGTACCTGAGCTCAGAGCTTAGCAGAACCACGTGTGGTGTTCTCCAATCAGGTCATGAGATATGACAATGGATGGTGTAACAGAAGGACTGGATTTCAATCTAGGTAGTGAAGGGAATTTTCAACGTAATAGTAATTTGATTTGTCCGGCAAAAGGTCCTAAGTATGCTAAGAACCTGACCCAATGAAATTTCAGTGGCCTGAGCTATCATGTGAATATAAAACAGGTGTGCGTTCAAGTCGATAAGTATAGGGAAAAGCATGTTCAGATTTGCGAGGAATCAAGGACGGTTGCCGTAAGACCTTCGGACGCAGGTCAAAGATGCAATTTTTTGACTAACCGACTAAATTTGGAATTACAATATTTTCGTAAATACTGTTTTCAGACGGCCAGTTAGGACATGCAGGGCAGTGTTGCATGAGCAATACGTTGTCGTATTAAATGTAATTCTAACTTCAAACCCCTTTTTCGCGCCATAAGCGAGTAGTCTTCTTTTTGCACATATGCACATAAACAAGGCAGACATGCATGTGTCTGTCGAGACCAGTTTTTACGATTTGAGGTTTGTTTATGCAAGAGCCATAAACCATTATTTATTTTGACGAGGTCTCCGTACTCATCGTTAACCGGACTTAAAGCGAACCCCGGTGGCTCCGCAGCTTAAAGCAATAATGGTTATTATAGTTTAACAGTTAGCTATGGGCTCGTAGATATCCTTGACTAACTGCACGCTCGGATGATGTAATGGTTCTCTGAAATCAGCTCCATCCTACTAGGTAAGCTTCCGTCTAAGCACCCACACACGTGGGCATGAATTAAGAAACTGAATGCAGACAAATGTGCCCTACGCGGCAGTTTGACCTTCACCGGCGACGACTTCCAACATGTGCTCCACGGAGTGGGCCCAGTACTGGTGTGTTGCGCATGAATTAGCTTACGGTGAGGGAGATTTCTGCATCATCTGCCGCCCTCGCTCACAATCTCACTTACAAGGCCTCGACGTTAAGGTGGTGTGGGTGTGGCCGGAGGTAGCCGCCACTGCAGTGGCCGGCAGAGCGGAGCAGAACATCTACGCGCGCCGTACACGCGCTAGCCCTAGCTTCGTGGGCCAGGTTTCTGTGGGGACCTCCCGACCCTCAACCTGATGAGACTGTCATAAAGACCACCTTAAAAGAAGCCATTGTGCCCCGGCCCTCAGTCTCAAAAAGGGCCGAATTATATCGTGCAAGCGTTTAGCACGTCGTGATAGTTTCAAACTGGGTCAGACCGTTCCTGTTAAGGAAGTGTGCTAGTTTGACGTATTGGCGGGTTCTCTGGAGTCGGCCGCATTTTTTCTTCCGAGTCCATTAATTAGCCTGTAACTGAGGAACGTGCAGTGGCCAAAGTGGAGTGAAGGTCGTCTAAGCCGTGTCAAACGCCTGCACGGCAGTAGTTATGAGCGCGCGCGCGGTCCCTGCACTGCCAAATTAACGCGCATCGCGATTCTACCTGACCCTCACTTGGGTTTAGCGCATTTGCAGCACAGTTGGTTGTCGGCTACAAGTATTAACTAAGAGTTCAAGCACGTGTTTTGTTAATATTATTGTAATAGACTTATCAGTACGATCTCTGTCGCCGACTAGCTTTTCATCACGCCCCAACGCTTGTGCACATACCATACAGCCTATAGTCATGCCCGTCGCGCACTGCATCCCGATTCTTGCGATGCTTATGAGCAGAACGACTAGGGGAGGCTTTGACGCTTGTTATCCACAGCAATCCTAATGCTCCGGCTCCTATATATGCCTTATTTCAGCCGTTTGTGCGCCCTCCTTGTTAGAGAGTGTCCGCCCAAGTCCACCACCGTGAGATGAGATGTAAGAACGCGTTACTATGGTGGAGTCTTGAAGAAGGACACACGATCGCTGGGACAAGGGCTTTATTAGCCTCAAGTTTCGGGTTCCTGCTTGAACCCATCATCAGAGACAAAAGCAGATAGGCGTGATTCATGCACAAGGCGCTGCAGTATTTGCAGGATGCAGTCGTCATGCTACTGCATACCTATGAATATTCACGTCAGGCTAATAAAGCTCTTGTCCCAGCGATCGTATCTCCTTCTTCAAGACTGCTTTCTGGGACCCCCCTCTTCGCTTCTATTGTCGTGGAGTCTGCCTGTAAATTTAACTAATCTTCGTTCTTAGACAAGTTTACATTTGCTCTACTCCGTACTTCGTATGCGTCTCTGCCGTGGATGCATAGTTAAGGAACTTCTATTTTAAAAGTTCTCTTTATTTCCGCCTACAAACATCCCGCCTTTTGGGCCCTAAATTTTGTTTCTCATTGATGTTGGGTTTCCAACTGACTGGTCGAATTCTGTCCCATCATGAAAAACAAACGCAATTGAGAATGGAGAGAAAGCGTCGCGTCTGACGCGTGTACCACGCCGAATCACTTTTTCTACCGGTCGTAGCCTGCCTTGAGCAACTGCCCATAGCATTGTGCGCCGCCGCATGACGGTTAGGTGATCGTGACGGCGCACGTTTGCACGCATGTGTGGACTGGTGAAAAATGACATCGCTTTAGCCTGCCAGTCCGCACTTCGTCTGAANCACAGCCCCTTTGTCTGAATGACCGTTGGCCCACGATATACTACTGGCTGCACATACAGTCTAATGCAATGGGATAAGCAGACATTCTGCCAACATTTTCGACCCTGGGTCACTGTTAGCTCTGACGCGTAGAGTCCGCGGCGTACGGAAGGCCGGATCTCAGGTGTAGTGAGATAATTAAAAATAATCAAGTCAGAAGGGCATATCCACATCTTCTTGACGGGTATTTTTAACAAAATTTGACTGCCCGCTTTGGACGCGAGTACACCTTCTCGGCAACATCTTCACCACTTTACAGACCTGGCCAATGCAGTAGTTAGAGTCCGAGGAATCATTCTGAAATATCTGATCCAAACGCAAGCCTCTAGAAATGGATCCAGACTTGACCACCTATCAAGAAACCATATGTTACCCCTCCAGTCAAGGTCACTTTTGCTGCATCCTCCCAGTGCTTTCCGTTGCAAAGAATTCGGACCATCAACCATGTTTGACTTCACTAAATAATTCTTCCCTCTCTCCACCTCATCCTTCCCATAAAGGTCGTTGACTGTTGTTTTGATCTCTGCGGAACGCCCGATCTCGAGTCAATGATCGCGTTTTGCGAGGTTTTCTACGACTGGCTGGCCCTCGACCCTCGACACACCATACTCTTCCACGCGGAGAGCGCCGCAGCTCTTCAACGGCTTCTCATTCTCCTGTATTCTTATGCCTGCTTCTGCGACTCCATGGAACGGTAGGTATTCCAAGTGAAATTCAGGTTTTGGGGTCCTTTCTAAGAAAAACTGCCCGAACGGCTCGTTGGTCACACTAGTAAAGGAAAACTGCCTTGACGTATTATGAGGTCTCGTCCAGAACTGTCAAATTTATTAACTTTTAGTTCTAGTAGGACAGGCTAAGTGAAACGAAGATGGTCTCGGATGTGCTTCACAAAGTGCTATTCGATTTACGTTCATAATGATATTTCCCTCAGAGCCAGAAGCCAGAATAGTCCATCAACATTTGAGAACTTATAGCCGCACACTTAAGTTGTCACGTACCGACTTCCCACAAGTGGTGCTTTCATGGTCCATCTGGAACCAAGGATTGTTGTCCTCATTGCGTCAGCATTCTCGAATAATAGCAGCCGGCCCGAAAATTAATGTCTTATCTAAATTCCTTCATCATTTTTATCCCAGGTACTCTTGAAAACTATAATCTTTAATGTTCTATTTTGACGAATGGGTAATAATCGGGAGATGTCACCCAAAAAAATCCGTTACCAAGAATTAATTCCTTTAACAGTGGACTCAAACGCCTTCAGGCTCTATCAGCGGTTGCAGGCCTACTGTCACGCACTACTTGGACTTTTCGCGACGGCCTAACATGGGCTGGCCGAACGAACATCACAGGAGGTTACATGGACGACGGTCGCTATTATCCAACCTTCCCCATCGTTACACACGAACACCTGAATATACGGCATACATTTGCATTATGGCAGTTTATTACAAAACAAAAAGAATTTTAGATAGGATAAGTCTGCACAACATGGAACAGGAAAAGATCCCAGGCATCTGTCAAAGACATGGCATTGAGGCCAAACCAAAGACGATACTGTACTTCGTCCATGTGGGCCCATACAGCTCGACCACATGCAGGGCCTCCCTCGTGGAGTTTCGTTTTCAGTCTACTCCAGTATGCCTCAATGGCATTGGTGTGCCGTCCGGTGGTAGGGTCCTTGAAGTTCTTTGAGTGGTTAACATAGAAACGTAGATAAACTCCTGAGGGAAGACGATTATACGCCTTCCACTCGTCCGTCACCACTATACTGCCTTTGGCGACCCATTTTTTAATAATGGAACGAAGAGCGGGCCAACTTTGATCATTCACCTGTTCAAATAGGGCTTTCTGTCGGCTATTGTCGTAAATCCCCGCCAGCAATCACCCATAAAAACCCTATTACCACCTGTTCCGTGAGACAGGCTGCTTTGGTTGGGCGGATTTTTGGGTGCCATTTTCCGATTGTTACCGACGACTGTTTTTTAATAATGTGTCTCCAAAGAAAGTTTGATTGGACACGCGGAGTAGGTACCTTCTCTTCGCACCGCAGGGGGTCTTGAGTTAAATTCCAGGTTTCATCTACACCCGTGTCCCAACTTTAACCCCCTACCCCAAACACTAAACCCATCTAACCTATCACGAGACCACCTGCAATATTTCGAGAGGTATCTATTCCCTTGCTCAACTGAAAACTCGACTTTATTTCGACACTTTGAAGCCAACACACCAGTAAGGCCTCCGAATCTCCTAAAAATCGATAAAATATAAAAAATCTGAAGCGCGTGAAATTATATTTTGTCTGTTTTGCATACCTAATAGTACTGCAAGTCCGCCTCAAGGTTGTAGTTTCTGTAATGTTTAAGCCAAATAGGTGGTCTCCCATGGAGCTACCTAGAGCAGTTGTCGAGCCAGTGACATGTTTATTTTGCAAGCGTATTGTGCGATCTAAATGACACCACAACAGAACCGACGGCAATTCCATGTCGATCTGGTTGAATCAACCACGTTATTTTCGCCCCAAATGTTCACGGAGGTGTCAAGTCAGGATCTCAGCAGCGGAGTCGGTATCTGTGTTGACCAGCGGCTTCAGTAATCATCCGGGGGGAAGTAGTAGGTCATCGTAACGGCGCCAACTGCGCACAGTTCATAGGCAGCCGTCCGGAGATGACAGGAGGCGCAACACGGTGATGACTCATGCACCTGCTCAACCAGCAGGGCCAGCTGCGTTGCCTATTCAAACACCGCCGCCGCCACCGCCGACGACGATGGCGGCGACGACGACGGTGATGCCGACATTGTATGCAGAGAAAGGAAAAATGGGCTTCAGTACGTCTGGTTATTGCAGTGCATGATTCACGCGGTAAATGTGCTACTGTGCTACAGACATTCATAGCATGAGCATGGACTCTGGCAGAAAATGTTGTACCATACCCTCAGTGGGAAAAGGAGCACAGCTGTGGTTGCCTGACGGATTACCCTCGTCTGGGTGTTTATTCGGAGCGGTGTTTTGTCCGAGATAGCAGTTACATTCTAAATTGAAATCTTTTCAATCGAAACAAAAGTTGAAATGCATTATGACACAAAATAGTCTGATCGAATTTTCGAATCGCAAGTAATAATTAAAATTCCGCCAAAGGAAATGATAATTTCAAGTAATAACATATGCCTTCTAAAGTAATACATTTTTCAGTGAATAAAACTCCCGTGGGAGTTTGGTCCTTGCGCTAAACACCTAAAACAAGATCGCATAAAATACACATTGAACGTTTTGGCAGAGTAGCGTTCTGGCCTCTAGTTAAACGTCTTTTCAACAACTGGATTTGATTAACATTTAATTAATGTGTATTCGACCAAGGGGATTTTCACTTTTGCATGAAATCTGCAAGCTTACTAGGTCAGTGGTTAATGCAGGGGCAAAAACGTAAAGGAAATGTACGCTCAGTTTTCGAAAAACATTCTACTTTGCCTTGTTTAATTGTCGAAAAAATTAATGCGCGAACTTGGAGTGCATTCTTCAGGACTGAGCTTTTCAGGCACGCTTTGAAATCATATATAAATATTTGAGCTGAAATTCATCAGCTACTGTGGAATAACCGCGTAATATTCACAAACCGCCATCAGGTAGTACCTGTGTTGCACTTGTGTGTTGTCAGTATGGTAAATAATTACACAATTGTATACTACTGTCTGCATTTTCGAAACACTAACGGCGTTTTCACGGGCCCGTAAGGTTTCCAAATGACTACCATGTCCTTTTTATGGCCAGAATTTCTATGTCGCCTCGGGCCTCTTCGCCGAGAACTGTATTTGAAACAGACCACTCACTTTTTACTTGGGCGGAGTAGCGTTTTGACCTACAATAAAACTTCCTTTCAACTATCGGGTAGAATGTCGCTTGAGAAAAATTAGCATTTAATAAATGTGTATTCTCCCAAGTGAATTGATGCATGAAATCGGCAGACTGATTAGGTCGTGCGTTAATGCTGAGGGCAAATACTTGAAGGAAATGTGCATTCAATTTTCAAAAACGTTTTACTGGCTACACATTTGAAACACCAACTGCGCCTTCGCTGGCATGCAAGTTTTCCAAATAAAGTGTTGTGTCTCTTCTCTAGACAGAATTCACATGTCGCTTCGTGTCTCTTTATCAAGACCTCTATATGAAACAGGCTGCTTGCCTTTTCACTTTTGTGGACAAGTCAGGTGACAGCTGATTGGATCTAAACAGATTCATAGTTGTTAGTTCTGTACGAAACTAATCAGTCCCTTCCTTCAGTCTTAAAATTAAAAAGACACTTTCTTGCACACTGAGCACAAGATATGAAAGTCCTCCCATCAGTGAAAACTGGAAAAAGCAATAAAAAGATTCACGTCCCGTAAGTGCCAAATTGTTTCTTACTATCATTTATGCAGTTCGTTGGAAAAGCGTTTTTGTCTGGCATGGGAATATGAATCCCACCGTGTTACACACGGCCTTGTCAAAATCCCCGGGTGGGTTAGAGTTAGGTTTAGACGGGTTATGGTTATGGTTGGATTAATAAGGGTAAATGTTAGGGGTATGGTTATGGTTAAGGTAAGTGTTGTTGTTAGGATTGAAGTTAAAGTTGAGATAGGATAAGGGGGACCCTCTGAAATCTAGCGCCAGACTACTTATAGGTCTGTGGGAGTCCATGTCCCCGTGTTCGGTCGATGTTTAAGAAGAGGGCACTTTTTTACAGTGTGAGATTGGACTCAGTTCTGTGCCTCACGTTGATCAGTGCTGAAACGTCGCCTAAGAGATCTTTTTCCTATTGGAAACATATTTAAAAATATCTTACATATTTCAGGAATTTCGTCGTACATTACTCCTGTCCGGTATTCAGGAATGAAAAGTGATGCGTCATCTGGTGAACCACAATATGCCATTGCGCAGGGAGTCACTAATATCGTGTATATGGCTCCGCGATTGCATGCTGTCGTCTTATCCTCGGCAATCAGATTTTCCTTAGTTTTCGCAGCAAACTTTTTTTCCGTTTCAGACCTAGAGGGAAACATATGTTTCGAATTGCACAT